TATTCTTTGACACGGATCGTGCCCCCACCCAGCACGAGCGCAAGGGCGTGCGAATGATGTCGGCATGCGGAGCGAGAGGCCCGTTTGGCGGAATTTCAAGAAGATGTTGAAACACCTATGGTTTTTTTTCAAGAATTCGCAAGAGTGCGAGCGCACGTTTTTTTTGAAAATTGTTGTCGCGAAACCGAATGTTTTTGCATGTTTTTTCCCAACCATCCCGCGGTGTCGGGTCCTCGTTTTGAAGAGACAGCGCCCCGCGTCTCACCTCCCGCTGCCCTCCTCTCTTCTCCCATCATCGTCATCATCATCATCATCATCATCGTCATCATCACCACTAGCATCATCATCGTCATCATCATCGCCATGGCCATTAGTTTCCAACCATCCTGTGGTGTTCGCATGGCGGCCCCGCCCCATTCTGGCGCACCCCTCACACGGTTCGTGGCCCCATAGGGAGCTCCACCGAAGGCCCCAGTGGCTGCGTTCGCATGGCGGCCCCGCCCATTCTGGCGCACCCCTCACACGGTTCGTGGCCCCATAGGGAGCTCCACCGAAGGCCCCAGTGGCTGCGTTCGCATGGCGGCCCCGCCCCATTCTGGCGCACCCCTCACACGGTTCGTGGCCCCATAGGGAGCTCCACCGAAGGCCCCAGTGGCTGCGTTCGCATGGCGGCCCCGCCCCATTCTGGCGCACCCCTCGCACGGTTCGTGGCCCCATAGGGAGCTCCACCGAAGGCCCCAGTGGCTGCGTTCGCATGGCGGCCCCGCCCCATTCTGGCGCACCCCTCACACGGTTCGTGGCCCCATAGGGAGCTCCACCGAAGGCCCCAGTGGCTGCGTTCGCATGGCGGCCCCGCCCCATTCTGGCGCACCCCTCACACGGTTCGTGGCCCCATAGGGAGCTCCACCGAAGGCCCCAGTGGCTGCGTTCGCATGGCGGCCCCGCCCCATTTCTGCGCACCCCTCACGAGGATCGTGGCCCCATAGGGAGCTCCACCGAAGGCCCCAGTGGCTGCGTTCGCATGGCGGCCCCGCCCCATTCTGGCGCACCCCTCACACGGTTCGTGGCCCCATAGGGAGCTCCACCGAAGGCCCCAGTGGCTGCGTTCGCATGGCGGCCCCGCCCCATTTGGCGCACCCCTCACACGGTTCGTGGCCCCATAGGGAGCTCCACCGAAGGCCCCAGTGGCTGCGTTCGCATGGCGGCCCCGCCCCATTCTGGCGCACCCCTCACACGGTTCGTGGCCCCATAGGGAGCTCCACCGAAGGCCCCAGTGGCTGCGTTCGCATGGCGACCTCGCCCCATGTCGGCGCACCCCTCACGAGGATCGTGGCCCTGTGGGGAGCTCCACCGAGGGCGCCAGTGGCAGGGTTCGCATGGCGGCTCCGCCCCATGTCGGCGCACCCCTCACGAGAATCGTGGCCCCATAGGAAGCTCCACCGAAGGCGCCAGTGGCAGGGTTCGCTTGGCGGCCCCGCCCCTTTTCGGCACACCCCTCACACGGTTCGTGACCTCATACGGCGCGAGCAGTCCGCGGCCAGACCTCGGTCCTGCGGACTCTCGCCCTGGGCCGTCGGCTGCCCGGCGCACTGCTCCCTCGGCCGACGTCGCCCAGGCGTGATCCTGGACTGCGGCCGCCACGAAGTCGGGAACGGCAAGAAGGAGGACGACGACTGGTGGCTGGAGCTCTATGTGTTGCTCTCGCGCGCCACGCGCCACGAGGACCTCCTGCTCATGCGGGCGCCGCGCATCGAGTTCTTCCTGGCAGGGCCGCCGGAGGGCTTGCGGAAGCAGCTGGAGCAGTTTGCGGCGCGCGCGAAGCGGCGCAGGAGGGAGGCGACGTCCCTCGCCAGGGAGCTCGGCTTCACCGAGTTTATCCGCGAGGCCTGACCTGAGGAGCGTCCGCCCCGAGCCGCGCCTTCTCTCGACTGCCCGACTAACTGTTTGGACTCGCGCCGCGGACGACCCGCGCGCGTCGCTGGGACCCTCTCGGGGCGACCAGCGCGCGTCGCGGGAACTCCGTGCCGCGTTTTGCCCGGCGCCTCGTTCGCCCGTCGTCGCTCTGCCCAGCGGTCAGAGCCTTGCCCGCTATCAGCCAGTCAGTTAGCTAGCCAGCTTTCTTTGCTCCGCGCAGCGGGCGACCCGCGCGCGTCGCTGGGATCCCGCCAGGGGCGACCGGCGCGCGTCGCGGGAACTCCGCGCTGCGCTGCGCCCGCAGCCTTGGATTTTTGGAGTGCGCGCGCAAAGAGGGAGGAAAAGAAGGGGCGAAAGCGGGCGCGATCCTCGCAAGGGCCGTGCCGACATGGGCGTCGCGGCGCGCGGGCGCTGCCGTCGGGGTTCCCCCGGAAGCTGCCCGCGGCGGCCAAGCCCAGTGTCGCGAGTGTTCGGACAGGCATGCTCGAGCAATTCACGTTCATATACATTTACACTAGGCGTAGCCATGATCGCATTCGTGCAAATTACATCACTCGCGCGTAGACCCATTCACACTCAGACTCACTCGCGCTCTGACTCACCTGCGTTCATTCTCTCGTAATCAGACCCATCGTATTCCTTTGCGTTGTGTGCCCCGCCACATTTCGGCACCCCCCTCATACGGTTCTGGGCCCTATGGGGAGCGCCACCGAAGAAGATACTCACAATTGCGGTACTCACAACTGCATATGGTTGGGTCCTTCGCCAGGATAATTTGACACTCGGTCTTGACATCGCTACGACAATGCAGACTTGTGACGGATTTTGACATGCGCGCGACGACGCGCGCGCGTGCACTTCGTCTCATTTTTGGAAAGGGTTCTCGCAACGGCATGCGCGCAGGGGCGTTTGAACGATTTCGACATGCGCACGCGCGAAACCCGTTTGGTAATATTTGATGTCAGTGTTGAACACCGATGGTTTTCTTACGAAATCCCATGAGCGCGCACGCTTTTTTGTTGAAGACCCCTGTTGCGAAACAGTGTGTTTTGGTATGCTTTTTCTACACTCGATTTTGACATCCTTACGAAACCAGAGGTTTTTCAAGGATTTCGGCATGCGCGCGCGACGACGCGCGCGTGTGCAGTTTGTCTCATCTGTTGCAAGGGATTGTTGGCTGAAATCTTATGATTGTTGATACACGAGTGCGCGCGCATAGTATCTTTTCAGAGGATGACGGGGGGGCGATACGGGCCTGGCTGGGAAGGTTTTGATTCATAGTTCGGATGGACGGTGGGGCAGAACCATATGTAAATTGCAATACGAAAAAGGGGGTCGATAATCAATCAGAGGGGGGGGGTGAGTATATTCTCTGTTTAGAAAGGAAAATTTACGTGGTGCGATATATGTTGTGCACAGTAGGCGGTGCAATCTAGGCTGTACAGTCCATGTGGTGCAATGTATGCGGTTCAACCTATGTAGTGCAATCTACGTGATGCAATCTAATCGATGCACTTTATGTGGTGCAACCTGCACTCTCTGAGGTTCTATGTTGTGCTTGTGCAAAAGATGTTGTGCAAACTATGTGGTGCAAAATATTCTGAGCAATCTATGTTGTGCAGTCTATGTGATACACAATAGTCGCGATGCAATCGATGTGGTGCAATGCGAAGGAGACCCGTCGAGAAGGGGGGGTGGCTGGGCACGGTCAGTCGGACGGCTTCGACGGCCAAATCAGTGGCCATGCGAAGCAGACAGGAGTGGGGTGGTGGGACACGGACTTCAGACGCAGAAAGCGTTAGAAACCGGGCCAAAAACCAAGCTGGGCCACGAAGGGGGGGCAAGCGGCAGAGATGAGAGGGAACGGTCGGCCGGACGCTCAGAAACAAGGGCAGGCGGGGGCCCAGGCGAGGGAGGCTAAGAGGGGCATGTTCAGGTGGACGCGCAGACAAGCAACGGGTCAAGCGAGGTCTCCCAGGGGGAGGGGCACGGCCGGTCGGTCGCACGCTCGGAACAAGGCAACGCGAGAGCAGACCTGTCGGCATGATGACCCCACGGAGAGCGCTAATTGTTGCTGGCCGTCATTCGTTGTACTCGTCGCAGGGGCCAGGACAAACAAACGAAAAGGAGAAAAACGGAGACGACGATGACGACGACGACGACGACGACGACGACGACGACGACGACGACGACGACGACGACGACGACGACGACGACGACGACCGCGACCGTGCCCCCGCGAGACTGCGGCGCACGGGGGCGCTGGCCAACACGACTTTTTCAACCTGGGCGTTTTCTGTCGATTTCGGCCCCTGGGGCCCTGGCCACAAGGGCTGGCCACGGGGTGTGCGCCTGAGGCGAGCGGGCACGGTCGGAGTGGGCTTCCTAGCAGCAGCGGCTGGCAGCACGATGGCTGCCGGGAGCGAATGGGCACGCTTGGAGTGAGCTTCCCGGCGAGCTTCTGGGCGCCAGCACTGGCAGCGCGATCTTGGCGAGAGGCGAGCGGGCACCCTTGGCAACAGCGCTGGCCACACAATGGCTGGCAGAAGCAAACGGGCACGCCTGGAGTGGGCTTACTGTCTACAACGCGCGGAAGCGAGCGGGCACGCACGAAAGAGGCACGTGAGGCTTAGAGGGACTCGGTAGGGACACTGGCCCAGGGCACCTGCAATTAGTTAGTTAGCTACTAAGAAGGCAGCAAGAACGCTCTGGGCACGCCTAGCTCGGGAAAGCTGTAAATCTCTGTCCTCGAACCTCTGAAGCGAAGCAGCACCCATCACCGCGACGAGGTCAACTTTCTGGCTGCCGCATCTCATATCGCACAATGCTCTGCCCTCGCCTGGTATTCAGCGGAGAGGGACTAGCTCCTCACTCATTCTGCGTCGTCCCTTCTGCTTTGCTGCTCCTCCTTCCTACGAAACTCTTCAGCGCAACTAGACGGAACCATCGGGGACCCGGCAGGAAAGCAGCCCTCGCGGAGGAGAGGAGGACTGGCCGAACGGCAACCAGGAGACATGCTGAAGTGGGATCGGCCTTGCGGAGAAGAGGGGGGGGGGTGGCTGATGACGACGAGCGCAGGCCATTTTTTCTGGCGCGGCGGCTGCGCGCCATCGACCTGCAGGGGGGCTGCTAGTCTGGCTCGTGCAGCACCGGCGACAGGCCGCTGTGCAGCATGACCTGGTAGGCGAGCAGGGGCAGTCCTGCGGGCGCCCGCCGGGGGGGCGCACGAGAGAAGCGCGTGGCGCTCGCCTTTTTCGAGGGGACGCCTCCTCTGAGTGGCGGAGGGGCAGGACTGAGGAGGAGGAGGAGGAGGAGGAGGAGGAGGAGGAGGAGGAGGAGGAGGAGGAGGAGGAGGACGAGGAGGAGGGATGATCCCCCACCTCCTCACGTCGCGAAAAAAGCCGCAACGGGCGGCTTTTGGCTGTGCTTGGCCTCCGGGGGCCTTCGCCGGGCACCAAGACCACAAGACAACGGCCCGTGATGAAGGGCCGGTCCCAGGGAAGGGGTCGAGGTCTCCGAGCGTCGACGTTAGAACAACCACGACGTCGGAGCTCTGGCAGGAGAGCCCATAATAGAATCGATACAGCGGATTGGCGATCGAAATGATTCGGGTGGGCGGAAATCGGCAGCCAAGTCGGGAGGAGTCGCATCGGCGGAAATCGTCATGCTAGTAAGACCTCCATTGAGAAATCGGAATCTTTATTGGAATCCGAGATCGAGCTGAACCGTAATCGGAATCGTTCGGATTCGGATCGAATCGAGCCGAAAGAGTCGAAATGAGCCCTGCTATGGGCAGGGGAACGAAGAGGGTCATTGGATCGGGTCGGGCTGCGGAGTTGGGGCGAGGCGCCGAAGCCAGGGCTGCTTGGCTTCGCTGCCAAGCTTCGCTGCAGCAGGCCTCCGCGTGGCACATGTCCTGTGTATCGGTTGGGAGCAGCATGAGGATTGTGGTGAGGAAGATCATGAGGATGAGGTCTCGAGGGCAAGGGAAGAAGGACATAGGATTATGAGCCAAGGAAGGGGTCTCCAGGGAAGGGCAGGGCAACGCTAAGCCTATGGTGAGGAGGATAGTGAGGACGAGGTCGTGAGGGCAAGAGAGAAGCTTCGGGAGGAGAGGGAGGAGATGGAGAGTATGGGGAGGGATATGACATGGAGCAGGAAGATGAGAAGGATGATGATGATGATGATGCTGATGATGTTGGTGCTGATGACGATGATGATGATGCTAATGATGTCAATGATGATGATGATGTCAATGATGATGATGATGGTGATGATGATGATGATGATGATGATGATGATGATGAGAAGGAGGAGGAGGGGCCTCCACCTCGACGTACCTGATGCACTGGGCGCTCCGCTCTCTTGGTCTCCTCTTCTGCAGTGCTCGCCTCAGCTTCCCTCGTCCGAGAAGGCGGGGCGGCGTCTTAGAAAGAACCAGCCCCGTCCTACAGGCTGCCGAGGAAGCCGCTCAGAAGGCAGGATGGCATCCGGAAGGCGGGGTGCCTTCTTGCAAGACCGTGCCCCTGCCCCTTTGTCCAGGCCCCTCGTGCGCGTCGCCTCCTCCTCCTTCTCCTCCCAGATCCTCCTCCTTCTCTTCTCTTCCTCCTCCTCCTCCTCCTCCCCGATCCTCCTCCTCCTCCTCCTCCTCCTCCTCCTCCTCCTCCACAATTACTCAATATGAATACTACTCTCCTCGTTCCCCCGGTGACGGGTTGGGAGTGTTCGCCCCCCCCCCCACGCGTACTGTTTTTTTACACACAGGATTCTCCGGAGTTGGGTTTTCGCTTGCATTTTTTTCAAAATGCTGCTCTCGCTGAGGCGCCGGCCTCATTTTGGGCCCCGCTCGTTCCGAATCGTGCTCCCGCTGCAGCGCTGGCCTCATTTCCGTGCTTCCGCTCGTTCCGAGTCGTGCTCCCGCTGCAGCGCTGGCCTCATTTCCGTGCTTCCGCTCGTTCCGAATCGTGCTCCCGCTGCAGCGCTGGCCTCATTTCCTGTGCCATGCCACGGCATGCAATGCAATGCTAGGTTGCGTTCCGCTGCGCGATGCCATGCCTTCAGCTGAAGCTGTGATATGCAGTGCTTAAGTGCCACGTCGTGCTATGCCATGCTACGCTTTGATCTTCAACGCCATGCTATGCAATGTTCTGTTCGGGGCCGCTGTGCGATGCCATGCTTTGCGTTGCAAAGCTTTGTGATGCAATTCTTCATTACGCCACGCCACGCCATGCTGTGACATACTACGCTTTGCGGTGCTCTTCTACGCCATGCCATGCCGTGCTCTACAATGCATCGCGTACCCTTTCGGGATCATTGCCCTGCTCGACATCCGACTGTGCGAGTAGAGAGGGGATCTACGCCATGGTAAGGGATGGGAGGGAGGGGTAGGATGTCAGATATGACGCGAGCGCACCTAGCTTGTCCTCCTCCCCCTCCCCCCCTCCCTCTCCTCCTGTATCCTCCCCTCCTCATCCTCCTCATCTATCCTCTCCTCCTCCTCATCCTCTATCCTCTCCTCCTTCTCCTCCTCCCCCTCCTCCTCGGTCTGATGACTATGGCCGACATGCCAGCTCTCTGTGGACCTCCCTCCCGTCCCCTCGCGCTTGCTCTCTGCTCCTCCCCCCCTTGACCACGTCTCCCCTCGTCTGTCTCTACGTACCTGCTTTTCACCCTTGTAGGTTTTGCCTGGAGAGTGATGGTTCCTTATGTGCAAGTGAGCCTGGTAGTACTTTCACCAGCCCTTTAGGGCGTGAGTGGTATAGAGCGTTTCCTCTTCCAACCCCGCTTCTTCCCCTTCGGGGAGGGGTTATCCCGCCCCCTCCCCCCTCCCCCTGGACCTGGAGGGGAGGTTTCGCGGGTCGTTGGAGCGTCCAAGATGGCCTTGGCGAGAAGGCCAATGTCACTGACTTTCCTAAAACTCTGGCCACATTTTGGCCTCCTGAGGGGGAAACCCTGATTGGACGCCCCCCGCCTTCTTTGATCGATCATCTCCAAGATGGCCCCCACAGCTCCCAAGAGGGCCCCAAGAGGGTCCCAAGAGGCGCCCAGGAGGCAAAGCGGATGGCTTGAGCCCAAAACGGCTTTTCTTCCTCTGGATGCCTCGTCCTCCTCTTGATGCCTCCCAGATGGAGTCAGAGCAGATGAAGTCGGAGGATCACGCCGCATCGTCGATGCATCACCGATGCATCGGCGATACATCGGCGATGTATCGTTGACGTTGGCGAGGAGAAAATTTGGCTCCACATCGAGTCGCATCGCCGATTCGCCGCGATCCTTCGACCCCATCTACCCCGACCCCATGTGGGAGGCCTCGACCCTCCTCTTCCTCCTCCTCCTTCCCATCCATCATCGACAAGGCGGTCCGGCGACAGGTGCCATCGGCAACTTCCTGGCAAGCCCACTGACGAGGACGCGCCAGCGGGTGCGCGTCCCTGCGCCGTGCAAGAAGTGCGCCGCGACGCCCGCGGGGGACTCCTTCGGCGCCCATCGGCCGCTCTGGGCGCTGTCCCGCCGTCGTCGTCGTCGTCGTCGTCGTCGTCGTCGTCGTCGTCGACGTCCCGTCGACGCCGCTAACCCCGCCCTCTTGACAATCTCGGCTCGCATCCGAACCCCGCTTGGTGGAGGGCAGACGCCCACGCCAACAGATGCAGCCATCGAGCTGGGAATCTCGAGTCCCAAGAGACAACGTACTACACCGACAGCATGGCGCCCTGGCCTCAGGAACACTTCCCTGCAATGAATTCCGCCGTCCTTCCGCCGCATCAGAGCTCAGCGAACTCCCACCCCTGCGGCCACAGTCACCGTGCTAACATATCAACTACATAGCCGCCAGACCGACGCACAGGCCCAGTTCTGCAGAGCACAAACAAGGACCCCTACGTGCAGGCACTCTTTGGAGAATGCGGATGCCGCATTTGCCCATCCCCAAAATTTGACAACATCATGTCGAGCGTTGAGCTCGCACGGCAGATCTGCAGACATACATGACCATCGGGCTAGAGGATGGCCACCCGCGCCATCTCCGGGGTTGGCGCGTGGGCGCTGCACGCGGCGTCGCAGGGCCCGGGCTGGGAGGAGTGGGAGGAGGAGGGGGAGGAGGGGGAGGAGGAGGAGGAGGAGGAGGAGGAGGAGGAGGAGGAGGAGGAGGAGGAGGAGGAGGAGGAGAATTACTTCCCGTGCGTGGGCGCGAGATCGCTGGCCTGTCCTGACTTGGGTCCTGGCTACATTGATGCCTTCTTGAAGCGATCTTAGGCTCCTCTGGGGCCACGTTGGGGTCCCTGGGGCCTCGCGGATGCCTTTTGGGGGCCTGGGTGTCGTCTAGGGGAGCCTTGGGGCTGCCTTGGGGCGGACTTGTCCAGCATCGGAGTCATCTTCTGGGTCGTCTTGGAAGCGATCTTGAGCCCTCTTGGCGGCTCTTGTGGGCCTCTTGCGCCCTCTGGGAAGCCCCTGGCTCTCTCCTTGGAGCCGTCGTGATTTGAAAAGTGGATAGTGCCAAAATGTATGAGCACCTTTCGGGGACCCAGCGCAGAGCCATCATGAAGCCTCGTGGGACCACTTTGGCGCCTCTTGGGTCGTCTTGGAAGGTCGCTAGACAGCCTTGGGCACCTCCTGGAGCCTCGCTTGGAGCCTCTGCGGTCAATCATCTTGGCGGCCTCTTAGCGTCCTCTGAGGCCATCAAGATCCCCGTTTGGGCCTGTTGGATTGAAGATCCGTCATCCTGGGCGAGGCACGGCGTGCTACACTCTGGGCCTTGGCGAATCAACCCCCTTCACGCTTGCCCCAATGACTCGCTTCGCCCAACGGATCGCACGCGAAATGCGCACTCCGTCACTTGGCCAGCACGGGGACGTCGAGCACCTTCCCACTGAGAGGACCCGAGATCATTGGCGTGTCCTGCCTTGTGGCACCATCTTGGGCCTCAGGTGTGCTCCGACTTCTGGCATCCTTCCGGCCTCGTCGACTACGGCTTCGATTGTCCCGTGTCCGACGACCAGGCTGTCTGCACCGAGGTCCGCAGTACCCTCTACGCTGGCCTCAGTGGTTCACCAAGACGATCGTGCGCTGCATCGTGGACGCCGTCCTCCTCGGCTGTCTCACGAAGCTCTCATGGCCCAGGCGGACGCCACCCGTGCCAGTGCAGCTGCCCTGCTGAAGGAATTTGATGATGAGGATGAGGCTGAGGGCATGGGCTACATCTGAGGACCTTGGCCTTCCTCCTCTCTTCCATTTTTCCCTTCCGCGGTCAGCGATCTTCCTCTCCTCCATCCCCTCCCGCCTGTCTATGCGTACGTAGTTGGTTGGGGGAGGAGGTATGAGATGATTGGAGGTGGAGGAGTATGTAATTGCACTCTGCAGAACCTTTGCAGGGCTGTTCCAGAGCAATTGATGCACCTCTCAACCAGGAGGTGCGTGATGTAGTGGAGCACTCTTCGGGCCCCCGTGGTTCTCGTGCCCCGTTTTCTTCGGTCGGGTCCCTCGCTCGGCGTTGTCTGGGTCCTGGGTTTCCGTCCCTCGCTTCTTTCGGCCCCTTCCTCGGGCCCCTCGCTCGTCGTTTCGGCGCCACGGGCAGGAGTGTTCGGCAGACGATCACCCACGAGCAAATCAAAAAAATCAAAATCAAAAAATGGAAGTAACCCGAGACACAAACGAAAAGTCGCTGTTCGCCGCAGCCTGTGCACGCACAGCACCGCTTCTTATTCTACGCCCTACACCTGGCTATGGCGACCAGTTGCCAAACTCGAAGGGCGGCGGTGTCTACCCCGCGGGGTTCGCTCAATGCTGGATCGTCGAAGTGCGTGTCGAACTGTACGGTGCCAGACGAACAGACAACGCATTGAGGATTCTACATCCAATCTAACCCTCGGCGTTTTGTCCTCGTCGTCCTGCTCCCACTGCCGCTTTGGCTTTTGCTTCTGCTTCCTGCTGAGCGGTTGCATGGTACGCAGGGAGCTTGCAGAGGCAGCGGGGGGCATGGAGAAGCAAGGAAAAACAAACCAGGAAAGGAAGGAGCAGAGCAAGCGCCGTCCAGGACCGATCACCCCCTCCACGGCCGAGGAGCCCGCTGCTGCTCCTCGTCCTCGTCCTCTCGTCGTCGTCGTCGTCGTCGTCGTCGTCGTCGTCGTCGTCGTCGTCGTCGTCGTCGTCGTCCCCGTCCTCGTCGTCGTCGTCGTCGTCGTCGTCGTCGTCGTCGTCGTCCTTGCCCTTGTCTTCATCCTCGTCCTCAAAAGGCGACGAGATCTATGCATACCCACTGCCCCTGGCCGGCCGGGCCCACCCTGGAGAAATGTGTTCGCCGAGGGAGGCAAAACCTCCTCTCCTGGGCCCGGGATGGGCCTGTCTTGGGGCGAGCTTGAGGGCTCTTGCGGGCGAGCTTGAGGGCTCTTGCGGGCGTATTGGAGGTTATCTTGAACCTTCTGATCAAGAAAACAATCAATTACGACATCTGGGCCAACTTCCCGGAAATTTCTGAAAGCAAGCCTGGGCCAATTTCTGCCGTTCACGCTGAAGGGGCGAACGTTTTCAAAAAACTGTGCCCGATTTGGGGCAAGTTGGCTAGGAAGCGCCAGCATAACTTTTCGGGAGGAGGTTTCTTCATCAGATGCTTGTCTGTAGATGGAACGATCTCGGGGGCCGTCTTTGGGCTCTCTGGGGCCCTCTCAGAAGACGCTTGGGGCTAACCCGGACCCTCTAGCACCCGACCAGGGGTGACCGTTACGTGCAGACCTCGTCGCCCGAAGCTCCCCTAGAAGAAGAAAAAGAAAGGCACAAACATAAACTCTTGGCGCTCCGCGCGGACTTCTTGGATCTGCGCCGGACCCCCCTCCCTGGCGCGCGGAGCGCGCCAGGGGCGCCGCTGGGGGGGCCCAGCGCGGATCCGAGAAACGTCTTCGCGGTGTTTTTTCTTCTTCGGTCCTCCCCTCCGTTGCCGAGAAGGGGAGGAGGAGGAGGAGGAGGAGGAGGAGGAGGAGGAGGAGGAGGAGGAGGAGGAGGAGGAGGAAGGAGGAGGAGGAGGAGGAGGAGGAGGAGGAGGGGGAGGGGGCCTGCCTGCGTCCTGCGCGCCACGTGCCACACGAGCACGTTCTCGAGGGGCGTGCTCACCGCGGCCAGCACCACGCCCGCCGCCGAGGCCGCGGCGGCCCACGCGATCATGTCCTGCGCGGGCCAGCCCCGAACAAGGCAGGGGGAGGAGGAGGAGGAGGAGGAGGAGGAGGAGGAGGAGGAGGAGGAGGAGGAGGAGGAGGAGGAGGAGGAAGAGGAGGCCGAGCAACTCACGTTCACGTTGATGGCAACAGGGGGCGTGTTCCGGGAAGGGCCTGGCCTTCGGTGCGTCTCGCCCTCGGCGGGAAAGCCAGCGGAAGCAAAACGGTGGCAATGCCTCGCTGGCGGAAGGCAACGTACAGAATTCGAGAAACAAACTTCATTGGATCTGGGGTTTCTGGAATCAACCGGCTGTGATGGTAATCGTGCCCGTGGTCTTTCCCCCCATTCCACGCTTGAACATCCTCTCTGCTTGGTGGTCGTGTTTCTTCTTGCCGCTCTCCTTCTGCCCCTCCTCTCTGCCCGAGCAACTCGATGCCGTTAATAAAGGCGGGTACCTCGTCGGACCTAGCCTACTTGCCAGCACGTGCTCTTGCATCATTGATCGTTCGAAGTTGGATGACAACTTGATCTGATCACTCACAGCCTGGTTAAACCTTTTTATGCTCCGTGCGCGCGCACTCTAGTCGATCTTATAAGAAGATCGTCAAATGTATACAGCGTTCGAGTCGACCAACAAACTGTCCACGACTTGCATATTGCCTTATTATCCTAAGGTGGCCCTTTCAATCATGAGCGTTGCGTTCAGACACAGACGTCGAGAGGCTACACATTCGTGTGCACCTGCCACCGTAAGAGAACTCGCCATCATGACTATGTCGCGGCCTTGGCGCTGAGGTCCGTATGTTCAGATCCCTGCGTCTTTTTTATATACTACGAGCTTCAGAGAAGCCTGGCCAGAGTAGCAATGCTGCTGGTCTGGAAAGCCACGCGACATTCTCTCTCTCACACACACACACGAACGCACCTGACTACTCCCATAGAGAAACGCTTGTGACTATTCCCGTCGTCGTCTCTCCCCAACACGTCGGAACCAAACCGTCACCACCTTTCTCAAACACCTGCTTTCCTCGTCCATGTGTTCGACCTGTCTTCTCTAGAGGCTTTATGCCCAACGACCTGAATAATCAGTGAGATATTCGTGGCATGCTACACAAGCGAGTGAGAGGCTCAACAAATCAATGCTAGTAAGAGCTGGTTTCGAACCCATGCTGCTTGCACCAAGCGGATACCGCTGAGAAACACATCTCGCCACCTCTACCGACCGCATGATGTGACACATCGCACAGTCCACCAATGTCAAGCCAATCCAACTACGCTAGCCAGAGTGCCGTGTCCTACCATGCACCAACTTGGTTCGCCACACACCTTGAGTTGCAAGGCAACCTGTACATAATTCATACCACGTGGTTATCGGGAAGCAGACTCAACCAGGTATGCGCATGCAAGTCCTGGATGGATGCCTTAAGTTGTGGTATGCACGCTATTGGAATGCGTTGCACATTAGACAGATGTTATGCTCCGTGTCGCCTGACCATGTAACATCTATGTGTGTGCATATCCTCTGACCGAGCTGTTCAAACTTTGGTGATGGTCCTTCCCCTCGAAACATTATTTTGCTATTCCTACTGCGGGTCCTTCTTCCCAGACGGGTCGATGTGAGCACGTGTGGCAGAAGTTGCCCTTGTCTTTAACCATTCGTTGCTGGCAAAGAACGCAGACATCGAGAACATCTCCTTCTCTGGGGGGTCAGAACTGCCTCTACTTACGCTCCCTGCTCCTGTGAACTCGCTGCTTCCATATCTTCCTCCGTGCAAGCATTTTTCTTCCCGCTTCTTTTGCACACACCTCCTCACGCTCTCAGACTGCGTAATGAAGCCATTTCCTCTCCATCGCTCTCGCTCTTCATCATCGTGTTCTCCTTAAACTTCTTGCTTGGATCTTCCCTTTTGTGCACGACCTCTCTACGCTCCTGCGTTCTAGAACTATTCGGGGCAAGAAACGTCACGATGCCAATGTGCGGCACACAATCTGGACTCATACGAAAGAGTTCTAACGAAAGGTGGGGGTGGGGCACCCTTAAATTTTGAGCGCCAAGCCCGAGCTTGAAACTCCAATACTGGCCATCTTTGTGTGGTACGTGCCATGCGGACCAAGAGGGCACAGCAACAAAAATGCAGTCCAGTCGCTCAGCACTTCTTTGAATTGCTTTAGGGTAGAAGGTTGCGTTCTACATTAGCCTTCTCATCAACAGTGGGAATAGACTTCCTCCTCCTCCTCGTCCTCCATCCTCATGCCACAGGGCGCCGCATTCAATGCGTAGCCTACGCCCAAACCGTGGCCGCCTACGGGGATACTCAAGGAGGTGAAGGAAAGCAAGAGAGGGATGAAACAGAAACTCGAAGTGTGGTAATGTCCACAAGAGGGGGTCCTTCAGTATGAGCGGTCCAGAGGATGCTGGATCGAAGCCCACTCGATCCTCGCCAGCCACACCTCACAATCGAATTTCCTGGGAAGATATTTGGGATCCGGTCCTGAACTAACTGAATTTCCCAACTTCGCGCGCATCGCACCCCGCGATTACTTTTGTGCCTTCGCGCCGCCCCCCCGTGGAGAAGGGCAACCGCTCTGGCACAGAACGCGACGCGCGAAACGCGATTATATTCGCGCCCACCCCTCGGGGTGACATAGGGCAAACCCTGAGGTCCAATTTTAAGGGAACGTTAAAACACCACGAGGAATCACTACCAAATCCCTCGGCCCCATCTTTATGCGGCATTTTTCCAGCCGGATCGATCTGTGACGGTCCCGCGGGGCGAAACCACCCGAGGTGAAACACCGGTACCGCCAGGATGTCAGGGAACATGGTCGGAAACTTTTGCCTCGCGTGTCGCCACGGTGGCCCCAGCGACACGCTGCGCCCTCGGGACGTTGACGCTCGAGGATGGGAAAGTGGATAGCAGGTCGTGCCGAAGCGTGGTGGGCCAGAACTGGCGGAGCGACACGCTACCCAAAAGTTCCCGACCGTAAAAGATGCACTGCAAAGAAACATGCAATATCTCTATCTTTTCGCGTACCATACAGACGCTCTGCGGTGGATCAGGGATGCAATCTGTATAGCTCACGTCGCCGGGGATTTCGGGGAGGCACTTTTGCACGATTCTCCTGAGGAAACCTTGCTTGGAACTGGACTCGCAGCACACGTCGGTCGGAAGAAGTAGGTAACCACATGAAGTAGGAAGGCGGATCAAGTAGATTTGGTCCAGGCCCTGCCAGAGAATAACAAAACACAGCAACAGCACATCGATCCTTGACATGGGAAGGCGCTTGAAGCAGAGTGGGGTCTGGGAGTCTCAGAAGACGTGGTTTCAGCGACTGGCATGTGGATGGGCTCGGAGGATCGCGCCACATCCCAAACTTCCCGACCGTAAGCCGACACCGCGCCCGCGACGTCTCGCCGTGCAGAGGCGCGGCCCGCGGCCTGCCCCACGACGTAGGGCAGATTCCGGAAGGCGCCGCGGACGCCCCCGGGCCGCAGCGCCGCCACGGCCGCGGCGAAGCTGCGGGGGCGGCCGCTCGGGTCGGTGCCTGCACTTTTCTGTTGGCTTTTTTTCAGTGTCTTGCTGCTCGATCCTCATGCTCCCATCTGTCTCCCCCCCCTCGCCTCCTCTCGTCGCAAAACAACAGTCGCAGCGGGCGGCTTTGGGCAGCTCTCGACCTCCGGGGGGGGGGGGGGGGGCCTCACCGAGCCCCGGGATAAAACAAAAAAAAACGAGTCAGGTCCTGGGGAATGGGTCCAGACTTTTTGGGGTCCACGTGGTTAACAAAAGCGACGTCGGAGTTCTGGGCTTCTGCTATCCTCGCGCTGTCCCCTCCGTGCTTCCGCCTCGTTTCCTCCTTCTCTCCATGCTGCTGCCTTTCCTGTTGCTGCTATTTTCCGCTATTTGCCGCGCCATGAAGGGTTTGATCCCTGAAGCGCATCGCGGCGGCTGCTGCCGCCGACCGAGGCGCCTCCGCGCCCGAGCCTAGCCGCACACGCGGCCGACGCGCGGGCGCCTTCGGCGCCGGGGGGGGGGGGAGGGGGCCCCGCCCAGGGGAGAGGAAGGGGCCTCCAGGATCTCTCGGGGCAAAGGAAGAGCGGGGGGGCGAGGCCCTAAAGATGGGAAAGGCCAGGCACCAGAGGACCCCGCAAGGAGGGAGGAAACAGGCCGACGGGGGCCCCAAAACGCGGGCCCCAAGAAGGGGAGCGGGGTCCAATGGTCTACTACTCGCCCCCAGGCCCGGCGCGCTGCCACCCAGGATATCAGCCTAGCAGCTGCAACACCTGTCCTGGGCGGCAGTGCCCAGGCCTTGGGGCACGGTGGGCCAGGGCTCGCCTGGCGTGCCACCCCCTTTACCCCCCCAGCACAGGGCCCGAACCAGGAAACCAAAAGTGGAAGATGAGGCGGCTGGGGGTAAGGGGGGCGGCACCAAATTATGTCCCTCGGGACCCCGACGGCTCAGCCCCCTCACTGGGCCACCTCGGTGGTCGGTGGTGTAGTAGTAGAGCATGATTCTGTCGCCCTCGAGCTTGTGGTACTCGACTCAGTCCTGCTGGTCGAAATCGTGTGATGAGCCTTCTCCATTTGCTCCATTCACTCCATTCAACTCAGCATCGCTGATCCAGTGGTCGTCTGTCTCGATGATGGTAGGCTCTTTGTACTTGGCTCGGTCGCCTTGGTCGAGTAGCACTGTTTGACTGTGTTGGGCTCAGGCTCTGGTACTCGTCTCAGCCGATGAGGTAATTGTCGTGCTGGTTAGGGTCGATGGGGGCCGGCTTGTTGCTGGTAGGTGGAATAGATTGTGGGCGCACTCAGGCCTCCATGCACCGACTTCAAGTAGGGTTCGTGGCGGCCCTACCTCGTCCCGCTATGGCTAGGGGTCACGGTGCCCTCGGTGGGGGCGAACCCCAGGCCAAGTGATTCTTGCTGTCGATGAGGAAGATCAACGCTGCCCTATGCTTCGCCCTTGGGCGCTCGGGAGCTCCGTCTCCGCCATGGGAATGGTGGGGGTGGCGAGCTAGGGCGGACCGCGGGGGCGCGGGCAGTACTCGTCCTGCCCCCCCCCTGCCCCTCACCATCCCCCCTGGTAGGCGCGGGCAGTCCTCGTCCTGCCCCCCCGCCCTTCGAGCCCGTCTCGAAGTTTGATCCTTGCCTCACCAGGGCAGCGTTGACTCGTACTTGGTGCAGTTGGGGTAATCTGGCTGGTACCTCTGAGCCCTGACTGAACGGCGGCCGTGTCCGTCAAGTGCAAAACGTGGCGACGTGTGCCTGGGGTGTTCCCTCGCATTCGGGGCTTCCCCAGGACTTGCGTCCTGATGACTTGTGCAAAACTTGACGACGTAGCCTGAGGTGTTCCCACGCACTCGGGGCTTCCTCAGGACTTGCGTTCTGATTCTTTTGTACTTGTCGTCAGGGCGCATCGACGCGATCCGCGTTGTCAGCCTGTGCCCGAACAGCTCCTGTCGAGGTGGTGGCCCTGCCGATTGCCTTGCCGGGTCGGTCCTGCCGGGCCCACTCCCTTGCCTCTTCCAACCAGGTCGGTGAGCCACTCCGCCTCGCTGGGCCCCGATGGTAGTCCTGACCCATCTCCCTGGTCTTGTAGCAGTCGAGCGGCTGGAAGAAGTGGGCCACGTCGTCGTCGATGTGCCACCCCTGGACGTCGTTAGGCGACTCGCCAAAGCGCCACCTTATCTGCTTCGCCAGTGCGGTCGCGATGGCCTGGCACATCCTGTTCGGGTACTCCTTGGCCGCCGCGGTGCGCCACTGGCCGTCGTCGTTGATGCCTGCCAGCTCCGCGTGGTAGGAGGCCGTGTGAAAGCACCTCCCGCTTCCAGGCAGTCTACTGATTTCTGCTCGGAGGGTTGGTAGGGATACCGCCATCAGGCTTGTGGACTTCCTCGAACGCGCTCCACAGGTGCACTGGTCGAATGTGATCAGCTCGACTCCCTGCTGGTTCAGGAGGTGGCGCGTCTCGGGAAGCTTCCAGGAGCTGGCGAAGTGCTCCTCGGTGGGCTCGGACGGGTGCTCGAGCATGCCTGGGACTCCCAGGTTGAGGCACATGTACATGAGCTCCAGCTGTGTCCTGTATAGGCGGTTGCCTGTCGCTACTTGCTCCATCTCTGGGCGGGAAAGGTAGCGAAGGCCCCACAGGCTGCTGCTGCTCCTTAGGGGTCTTGGTGGCCGACCCCTGCAGTCATTGGGGGGCAAGTGGCGCGCTCGGCTCCAGGTCTCGCACGGCGGTCCGCCGATGACTCCTGCAATTCTTCCTGCTTGTGCCATGTCTCGCCACTTGCTGACTGCGACTTCTGATGTCAGGTCGCCGAAGGTCGGGTCGTTGGCGATGTCCAGGCTGAGCATGTGTATGTCGCAAGCAGCCCGACTGCTGAGGCGGTCGAACCAGTCCTGAACATCTCCCTCTCGGCGACGGCCGCTGAATAGATGCAGCACGTATAGCGTCCGAGCTGGTCTGGGCCTCGGTACAGCAGCTGGCGGCGGTGGCGGCTCCTCGATGAAGGGGAGCTCTAGGCTCTCGTAGTGGCCGCCGTTGCTGTCGTCGCTGTCCTCGTCCGTATGTATTTCTGGAGGACGAGCAGGGACTGCAGGCTTCTCTGCCCAGTCGATGGGCCTGCCCGCCCTTCGGTTCGCCTGCTGCTGGTCGCGGACAATTTGCTGGTTGTGCTGCAGCTCGGCTCTACTTAGGATTGCTGGACGCGTCTTTCGCCAATGTCGAGCGCACCTGCGCACTCTCAGCAAGTGTTTGACCAGCCTGTTTGTAGTATGGTAATCCATGCCGCATCCGTAGCAGACCGAACCAGTTGCCCACGAGATAGGATGACCCGACGAGGTGTGGTCCTTGGTGATGTGTGCTCGTAGCACTGCTGCACTGGCTTCGGTACGTCCGCAGTGGTAGCATAGGTACTTGCGCTGCTGCTCGAAGTGCTGGTCTGGGAAGGGCGAGATGGCTTCCGTGTTGGTCCACCGTTGGAGTCGAAGCCGCCATCGAGCTTGGTAGTCGTGATCGTACTGGCGAGCTTTGCCACGTTGGCAAGCTTTCTTTACTGCGCTGAGGTAGCTTTGGTAGTCGTTCCTGGCCCAGTCCTTCCAGTCCTCGAGCGTGTATGCTCCACCACGCTCGTCAGGTCCTGTGTGGTCGCGGACCCAGTCTAGGTCGCGGCGGAGCAGTGCCACCCAGCCGTAACTACCATCCCATGCTTGGCTAAGTAGCCGGCGGAGGTGCAGGGGTCCCCAGTAGAGGCATCTGCCAAATAGTCGTAGCCTCTCAAGTCGCAGGACTATCTCTGGGGGCAGCTTGTCGACCCCTTCGAGAATCTGGGTGTTCGTTACCTCCTTTTTCTGTCGTACTTTCCAAGTGATCCTTTGCGCGGCAGCGTAGTTGACGATATACTGGTTGTTGAAATTCCTGGCCTGGCCTGCGGTGAGTTCGGGCCAGGTAGACGCATTGTAAAGTAGCTGGGATAGCACCACACTGTCGGCTAAGTAGGCCTTGTCTTTGATGGCCAGCTCTGGTCGCCGGTGGACTTCGCGATGGAGAGGCCTCGTGGATGTCGCTGCAGTGGCTACCTTCACTGCGACATCCACCCCAGGGGATGCATTGTCGGTCACGTAGGTCCCGAGGAGCTTGTGGTGACGAACCACCTCGACGTAACTCTCTGCAAGGGGGACCTCGATCCTCGGCACTCCCTCGGAGTAGAAACTGGCCCGCGCTTGCCGGCTCCCAGGCCCACTGAAGTCGATCATCACCTTGGTCTTGGTGAGTTGCAGCTGGAGGCCGAAGGTGCTGGCGGCGCAGTAGACGGCTTCGCAGAACCCGGTGGCCTCATGCTGAATGTGGTCGGGGCTGGTGAACACGTGCATGCCCGTTAGGTCGTCGACGAACGATAGGCCATGTGGTTCATGCTCCTGGAGTGGCCCATCTGTGGGGTCGGTGTCGCATGCGAAGCTGCTGTCAAGAGGCTTGCCCTGAGGTCGTAGCCCTCGCTGCGCAAGGTAGCTGTCAATCATGCGGTGGACTCGGCCGAATAGCAGATTGAAGTCCGCGTCGGCCAGGGGCACGCCAGGCCTCGTGCCCTTGTGCGGCGCCATAAGGTTCTGGGAGAACCTGTGTGATGTCCACCTGTTGCGGTATCCTTCTGCAATGAGGGCAGCCAAGTGGGAGCCGTCCAACACTGTGTCGAGTATCCCTGGGTTGGCCATGAGGTGCTCCAGCTGCGGCTGGGCCCACAGGGGAACCTCGAGGTTCTCTAGCACCTCCTTGACTTCGTCCTCCTCTCCTGGGATACCATGAACCTGCTGGACTACAACCGAATAGAAGGCCTCCTTTAAGTCGTAGCAGCTTATCATGGAGCACTTCCCTTGGGCCTGACTTCTCTCTGTGAAGAGGCGTGCTGCTAGGACCGCCATGTCCGCCCCTCGCTTGGGCCGGCCGCCAACCAGGATGTCCTCCAGCGCTATGGCGAGGGTAGTGTTGAGCATGGTCCTTAGGTATTTGTGGTGGTGCTTGCCCATGACGTTGTTTAAGAGGATCTC